AGTTTCAGCAGTTTGTTGGAATAGCAGTGGTGGCAGCCAGCTAATAAAGTGTCAAAACGCAAATGCAGCTAGCAAAAACAAAAACAGAGCTCCTGAGTAACCCTGTAGTAAGCTCAAGCATTGTGGTGAGTGTGACTTGGTAAAGGAAACTCTATCAGTACAAAAAGCAAAGCTCCCACTGGTATTGATAGAAGGCAGCAATGCAATGGAGCAAATGAAAACTGATTGCACTGACAAGAAGAAAAATGCTTTGCTGGCTTTTTCCTTACTCAGTTGTTGTGGAAAGTTCCACCCTACAAATATCAATCCCCTGTTACCCTAAACTTTGCAGAACTTTTAACTTGTGAACCATGTCCATGTTTCTTCCAGACTGAGACCCAGGAGCTGCTGGCCAGCGCTGATGGGCTTGGCAGTTGATCAGCTCCTCATTGTTGATTCAAGCCTTTATCTTTTCCTGCTGGATGGGATTGCCCCTCAACAGTTCCTCTCTATTGGCAGGAAATATGTCCTAGGGTTAAATTACCAGTTACCCAATCTCCCTTGATACACCTTCATGAGGTTACATCTGTTGCAAACTCTTACTATTTTCAAAATGAATAAGTAAGACTATATAGCCTGAGTTGTGGCTGAAAGATTGGGACACAAAATACTAATTTTTTTTTTTTTCTAAGAGAAGCTGAGAAGCTTCCCTGAAAAAGAGTGGAAACAACTACAAATGAAGGACCTGTATGAGCCAGTTGGACTTGGAGCCTGAGAAATTTTTTTTTGTTGTTTTATTTTGTGACTAGTACTATATGTAATTCCTATACAATACAGGATTAGATGCTACAGTTATATACTATAATGTGTATTATTATTGCTATAGTATTACATGGTACTATATACTGTAACCTCATGGTGGCTAGGAAGGGAGAGCAATGAGCCTGAGATGTGGCCAGATACAGCATCAGCATAGTGAGATAACATAATGGAAACGTCTATTGAAAATCTCATTTATCTTCACTGCTTAATGATCCTGGAGGCAGGAAGAAACCCATCTTTCAGTAGTATGGTCCAGTTGTGACGCAGGAGATCCTGCAGCACTTCACCTGCATTTCTGCTGTGGTGCTGGTTCAGGAGGGCATCAGTGGAGCAGCAGCATGAAAAGGCTTCTGCTGATGGGCAAGACTTCCCTGCTTCCAGTAAAAATGTTTATTTTTCTTGCATGTAAAGTACATAATATATAGGAGCTTGTATTTTTTCAGGAAATTATTCTGGTTGTCATTTCTCTAGCAAGACTATACTCCATTCCTCTTTCTTCTCAGCTCAATTGCTGAAGGCTCCTCCTGAATGAGGAGGAGAGGAAAGTGCTTGCAAATGACGACCTGGAGACACCTTAGGAAGCAGTGCGTGCATCTGCTCCACCTTTGTTGGCCTGAAAGTCTGCAGAATGGAGGTGTAAAATTAGAAGCACAAGACTGAAACAGAAAAACAAACTGAGCTCTTTGAAGAAGGAAATATTAATCATTGTCATAACTTAAATTATTAAAAGTGTGTTCCCTTGTCTCCCCTTTAGACTGCAAACAGTCATTGAGAGAAGAGGAGGGGACAGTAACTATGAACAGGAGAGGAGCTATCAAGCAAGCCAAAATCCACTACATCAAAAATCATGAATTTATTGCTACCTTCTTCGGACAACCTACGTTTTGCTCTGTCTGCAAAGACTTTGTGTGGTAAGAAGGAAACACTAAGCTTCCCCCAACCCCAAGGGCCAAATAACAGAAAAATCTGCTCTGGGTATATTGAGACATAATGTGACATGTAAATTCACATGTATTTGAAAACTGGAATTATAGATTTATGAGAGCATTGTTATACTCAGGAACTATAGTTGTCTCTTTCACATTAAAAAATTAGAACTTGAACATTTTTGCTGCTAAAATAATTGGCAAAAATTCCATCGCCATCAAGTGAGATCTAGCCCATACTCAGCAGCAGCTCTTTCAAAAGAGAATGAGATGGGTGAATCTGAGAAAACAATGCTCAGACTTTGAGTTGTGAGGTGGCTGATAGCAGAGTAAAGACCCATAGAGAGGAAGAAGCTGCATCCCTTCCATAGTAAAGCTGTTTGCACGGAAAGTCAGATCAGGAGGATTTCCCATGTGGTTGAAACCTTGTCTTTTCTGGGTTTCTTTCCTAATCTGCTGGTCTATCAAAACACACTACCTTATCTTCTGCATTTTGCTTTCCTAAAACAGAGGGTTCTGAATAGCAGAATTTAGACCTGTTTATTAGTTGGGACAAATATTCCCATAAGCAAAGGACTGACCAGTTGACTCACTAAAGATAGAACCCCTCCCACCTTTTATTCCAGCAAACATATGGAGGTTTTATTTCCTTCTTTATCATTTGTTTTTCAGGGGACTCAATAAGCAGGGATACAAATGTAGGCGTAAGTTGATTTTTACTTTTTTCTTGTACTACTTGCCACAGAAATCTGTAGATCTAATAGTAGCTGTTGAAAAAAATCTGTAACTCACATGGCATTACTATAGGTAGTGGTAGTCATCAGTCATCAGCTTTGCACGATGACCTAAGGCTCTCTAATTATGATTCCTACCTGAGGTTTTAGTATCAAGATTTAGCCTTAGCTATTCTTTGGATGAGCATGTAATGCTGTCGAAAAGTTGCACTCACGACAGCAGTTTTTGTGACACCTTTTCTAAAATGAATTACAAGTACTGAGGAGTTTTACAGCTGAATTGAAAAGCGTTTTTGACTTAGCATAGATCTCTGAACAATACTGCTCACAGTGGGGAAGATATCAAAGGGTAAAACTCAAAAGCATGGTAAATATTGGCCTTCTGTTAGCAAATGCTGCTGGCTTTGCCAATGGAGGCAGATATAGTTTAAAAACAGTTAATGATAAGAGAACGTTGGGGGAATCAGCTCAAGAATTATCATCTTGATAGAAAAGAAAGGGTTTGGTGTCTATAGTATGATAAAAAGGAGGGTGATTTTCATATCATGCTATGAAATGTGAACACCTCATCCCATGTATTTACTATCTGAAGAAATCCTTTTTTTCTTTTGCATGTCTTGAAGAATGCAATGCTGCTATTCATAAGAAATGTATTGATAAAATAATTGGGAGGTGTACTGGTACTGCAGCCAACAGCAGGGACACAATGGTAAGACCTGGAACTCTTTATTTAGAGTGTATTTATGTAATTAAGCTCTCCTGAACTACAAAACCTTGTACAGAAACAGCCAAGTCTATCTGGGAGGTGCTTAGCTGTATAACCCAAGTTACTGTCTGCTCTTGAAGATTGTACCTAATTGTACTGGATGGAACTTTCAAGCAAGAAAAGTGGTTAAAAGTCCTGCAAGGGGGTGGGTGGTATTTGACAGGCAGAGCCTTCCCCTGCTAGATGAGGGATGATAAGACTGGCGTATTTGAGATAAAAACTGTTGTAGCTTCATAGTATCCAAGCTGTTTCCTGTAAGAAGTTGGTCTTGTTTTGGGTAGAGTGCCTCACCCCTCTCCTTGCCCTCAGTTTCAGAAAGAACGTTTCAAGATCGACATGCCTCATCGCTTCAAAGTTTACAACTACATGAGCCCTACCTTCTGTGACCACTGCGGCAGCCTGCTCTGGGGGCTGGTCAAACAGGGCCTCAAATGTGAAGGTACTGGGGAGAAGGGAGGGCAGCTGGAATCTCTCTACACTTTTCCAGTGTTCCACCTCTGTGTGTTTCTATATGGGGGTTATATAGAATGGGACTCATCTTATCCAAGCACAGCTGGAAAAGCTTTTGTACCAGAGAGATAAACAGGCACCTGGCTCATGTGACAGCTCAGCCACGTTGAGCTTCTCATGCAGTCAGAAGACATGCTGTGGAGGTGTAGTCTTGAGTATAATCAAAATTATTACCTTGGGGAATAGCTCAAATATGGTGAGTCTGACTCGGAAGTAACACCTAGAAGTGTTGAAAGTGTTTACTGTAAATACCATTTTTATAGTATCCCACAAAATGGCAAGATGATATTTATTGTAACAGATTTGGGAATAAAGTAATGATAATTGGAGGTTTTTTCCTTTTGAACAATTTCTGAAGCCTTCATTGAGGTAAAGATTGAAACTGCAGTTTTATTACCCATGATAAATCCATGTCCAGTCTGGTCTTACAAGGTTTCTCAACCACACACTGAAACAGCCCTTTTGGTTATAATATCAGACAGTATTTCCCCAGTGCTTGTATAACCTTCTGTACATTTCTTCTAGAATGTGGGATGAACGTGCATCATAAATGCCAGAAGAAGGTGGCAAACTTATGTGGAATAAACCAGAAGTTGCTAGCTGAAGCTCTAAATCAAGTTAGCCAGGTATGCTTTATTGGTATTTATCAGGTAATCAGTTGTTTTCAGAGCATTTGGGGTGTTTTACTTCATCTTTTCTGTATCATTTCTATGGGGAACTGAGTTTAGAATCGAGGAAATGCAAATAGCTTTCTCTTTTTAATTTGACCCATAAAAAGACTAACAAAGATTTCGATAGCCTAAAGCTGAAACTAGGAGGAAAAAAATCCCTCCCAACAAAGAATTTTTAAAAAGATGTATGGTTTCCTGAAGTCCAACTTTGTTCTTCTGTGGTGCCAAGGTTATTCTCTCCCTTTCTGTTTATTGTTCACAGTAGTATCACAATACTAGTCTGTTTTTCCATACTTCAACTTTAGAACTCCACTTGAATCCTAAAATTAAATAAGAAGAAATATAACAGATATTCTGAACTTTTATTAATTGGAGATATATATATATATATA